GGACATTGTTCTTTGTGTATGCAGGAATGACTATTTTCTCTAATATCAATTTGAAAATATTAATGGGAATGTATAACCAATGTAAATAGGGTAGATACAGATCATTTAGGACGAAATATGATAATGGAACAAAATTTGCTTCAGTAAAATGTAGCTAAAGAAAATGATAGTGTCAAAGTTTGTTGGACCAGATCACTAAAACATTAATTTGACTGTGTATTTTAACGTTATTCATTTATTATGTGGCCAAACAAAAATTCTATTTTTTCTCATTTTCATAAACGTTTCATAAATCTGAACTGACAATGACGTTTGTTTCTATGAAACAATTGAAATTTTCTTGTTGGAATGACCAACACAAGTTCTGTAATAGATATTATAACCTAATTTCATCATCAAATACTGCTTTGTCAAATGAAAGACAACTTATATCCTTATATTCCATTCCAAAATATCCGCAATCACTCTATGTCCCATTAGTTAAGTGTATACACTCTAACCTCTAACGAAGAACAATATCCCGCCACTTGACAACTAACAACAAATATTTGACATTTTAATCTTTTTAGAGAGCGAAGACACGCTTGTCATGACTTCAAACAGCAGAATAAAAACTTGAGTCCTGTAATGGCGAAATGAATAATGTTTTCAAAGATTGGATACTTAATAATAATATGTTCAATTCGAAAGTGATATATTTATATATATTTTTCCATATTCATTTGGAAATTTTCAATTCGAATTCACTGATACTAGGTTTGGTAGGATGTCATACGACTACGATGATATGAGGAAAAAAGTATTCCATTGTTTGATGTGTCGATATTCTATTATATACAGTACATTATTTATGTTATAATATCTGATTGTGGGATATTCTACAATTGATTGTTGATAGTTCATACAAGATCTATATTAATCGTTACCCATTGTCCAAATAACCCCATGGTTGGGAATGTACTTTTTGAGAAATGAGTGAATCATTGTTGATATATCTAACAGAAATTAATTACGTTCCTGGCTGATACCATAATCAAGGCTAATACCATAGAATATTGAATTACATATGTTATGTATCCTAATATTGAAACAAAATCAAGGATCAAAATACAATTTGGGACAATTTATCCGCCCAATTTATAAACTGTAATAATTCTGATCTCTGTCCGTACTAATTCCCATGCATGTGGCACAATCGCCTTTTTTTATTCAATTTCAAAGATTAAATTTCTCATTCATTAACAGACAGGAAACAATCTGGTATAGACTGTATCATATTGATGTGATCATTTTATCTACTTTTCACCATGATTTTTTTTTTTTTAAACTTTATCATTGTCGAAACGTCTTCACATTTTTTGAAAACTAAGTAATTAGTAATCTTCATTGGTGAAATTTTGGCAATTACTCACGGAATAATGAGACATTGCAATCAAGAGATTGAAGTTTACTTTTTTATCAGTTCAAAATTCAAAAAACCCTTATCGCAGGAACACCTATTCAACTTTCAGAACTGTTCGTAGTGACAAGTGAATTTTCACTCTCTAAAAAGCGTGAACTGTCAAAAATGCTAAAGGAACCTGAAGGTGTTTTTTCTTGGTAAACAGCATTCAAAATAGATTTCGAACAGAGTTCAAGTGTCGTAATTGAACTACTTCATGGAAGCAGTCAGTTCTGAAATGACAAGTTTGTAGCCAGTTTCAAAGGTTCACATTTTCTGGTGACGTTAATTGCAATATGGAAATAAACCAACTTTCAGTGATAATCATTGGAGAAAAACACATCCAAGAGAGTGTTGATCTATTATCAAATGGTGCTAGAGTAGATGACCGGTCAGGCATTTTCCACCATTTAAGTATTCGGACTAACACTTTTTCTAGCTATTCTGGTTCCAGGAACAAAACCGTTTCAGACTGCCAATGTCGAATAGGTGGTACCTAGTTCTTGCATCTTGGCAAGATTAATCGCTTTCGGATGTTATCGGTACTCTTCCTTCTAACCTGTTATCTCAATGAGAGCTAACATTTTCATTCTCATGTCCAAGTCGAGAGTCCCAAATTTTTTTCGAATAGCCCAGAGAGGTAAGGCCTATATGGCCTATGTATACAATTAGAAAAGCTCAAGTTATGGTTAGACTTGCTCAATCTTTCAGATAAGATATCGTAAGGAAAGGCGAAATAAAACCAAAAGAAGTATACCAATCAATTCTATCAACATTGACCTAACGTCTCAGTAGCGCGATCTGGTGGATAATCAAAATATGTGGAAGGAGAGTGCCTTTATCTTCATTTTCTCTGATGAAGAAATCAATAATAAGTCACTGGGCTCGGTAATTATGAATGTAATATGATTCGGTACAACTTGGCATAAGATTAACCTCTCATTGGGTTCAAACCTTATTGTTTTATCCTTTTGATATGAAATTAGTGGAACAGATAGATGTATGTTGGAGTCGAAGCAATGTGTAGTATTTGGATGCAGACATGAATCCATATAGAGTAGGAAAACCTATATTCGTCAATAAACTACTGTTGATAATCTGCTAAGTGGCGAGGAAAAGGAGAAACTATCATTTTTGCTCAAAATTAAGGACGCTCAGCTTTCATTGGAATCATTATTCCAACACCCTATTTTGACAAAAGAAAAAACAAAAGACTCAGCCAGTCGACCACACATTTATGTAACTCTATATCGTCAAAAACCGGTAACATGTTTTTGACGATATAGAGTTATATAAATGTGTGGTCGACTGACTTTGAGTCTTTTGTTTTTTCTTTTGAAATTTTATTGGACCACTTTGAGATATGGATGATTTTCACGATTTACCCTATTTTGAGTTGTCAATTCATGACTGTGCATCAGATTTCGGACCGTTCTTTCAGAAGCATTCGAACCACAGACAACTGCATTCATTGATGATGTCTCAGTTCGATCAAGAAATAATATTATTCGGGATAAAAAATAACACGTTGCCCACCAAACGGCAACAACTTGAACACTTCTGAGCGATGATATGACCAATAAGCACAAACAAAAAACAAATGTGAATCAATAAAAACAAAGTGAACAGGCCGCTTCGACAGCTTTCAAGAACTCCGATAGGTGGCGTACGCATATTTTCTATCTCGAATTTGTAAACGTTTTGAGTACAGTTGATCAAGAAAAAACACCTCCAATAACAACCGCCACTCGCACTCCTCAGTTTTCATAGTTGTACCCGGCTTGCTTCAAGTATATCTTACCGTCTTGGGGAAATAAGTTTCCAAATAGTCATGTATTGGCACCACTGACTTACAGTTCACACCTCCGCAACAACACTTGTAAACGACCTCAGTATGCTGTGCGTTGAACGCGTTACAATTAACGTAAGGTAGAGAACTGTAACTTCGCCTGTCGACTGACTGGTCCATGTAAGGATAGTCGAAGTCGAATCTACTGAAACTTCTGTGTAAGTATCGTCTGGGTGGTACAGGAGGGGGAATGTCGTGGTATGACTTTTGAGGGTACCAGCTTTCAGGACTGGTCGGGTGATGTGTGAAATTCGATTCGCCATGGACGGTGTAGTAGTTGTCGAAGGTCGAGTCATTCTGATACCTTTTAGGCAAACTGTGCATAGAAGTGGAATGTTTGACCTTCCAGTTTCGTTTCAACACTTCACTCGGCATGACGTCTTTCTTGTTTCGTTTAGTCAGACAAAACTTTTGTTTCGCGGATGAAGACTCTTTGACGGATACATTTCGACTCTCGACGTACGAGAATAAATTATTTTTACGCACGCGGCTGTCCACTGCGCTAGTTTCTCCACACTTTATGTCTGAAACTAGGGTATCACTGCAAACCGATACCGATTCCGAATAATCATCATAGTCTTCGAATACATCGTCGGTACAACTACTATGGAAATTGTCAGAGAAATAGAGTTCGTCCGTTAGATCTGGGCACGAGGCATTATGATCCGAGACGTTGTTAAAGACAATTTCGGCATGTAAGTCTTTCATCAACATTGCAGGAATGTCGGGCATGCTACACGTGACATCGTTTTCATCGGGAGGATGAACTACGATTTTCGGAAACTGCCTGAAAGACCTCGAAGGCCTACGGACATGGCTTTTCCTTCTGGGATTGTTGAGGTCTTCCGGCTTATCTTTATTGATAGGTAGCAGACTTTCGATTTCCTTTTTGAAATCGCTATATGATAATGATTTTTTGAAAGTTCTACAACCGTGCAATGAGTGTTGTTTAGATGGGGTTATGTGTGAGTCTGTAGTGTGTTTTGAGTTATTAGGGAGGCGACTGTGATGAGTGGTGCCAATGTAACGGGCGTGCTTAATGTCGATGTAGTTACCAACGTCATGCTGCTACAAATACAAAAATAAAAAAAAAACTAAAAACACTACTCTCAAAAATATATAAATCAGCGCGGCAAAAACTACTTTTGGTAAGTTCAACTTTGAAATGGAGATAAGATAATCGATAGATTATTTTCTAAATTTTATATGATGTATGATTCAAGAAGTACTTTGGTTTCCAAATCAACTTTCAGAAGCCTTCAAAACGGTTATGCCATTTGATATATTGACGATACATCTATAGTTTACTCAAGTAAAATTTTAGATTAAAAATCTAGAAATTCTTCAATTTCTCTTAAATCCTGATTATGAGGTCACCCCTCATTTTGAAATTGTATAATGTGGATAAGAGTTGTGAGAAACGAATGTAATTATATTCGACCCCTTCAGTGAATGTTTAATAATTTAAAACGTACTCATATTAAATCTCTGATATCATAACCCCATCTCAAATACTGAAATTAGGTTCATTTAAAAAATATCGTGCTACTCAAGTCAAATATTACGTTTTACCGATAATTCAAAATGATGTCCGTTGAAATAATTGAATGTAAGTCACAAATCAGGATTAATAACAAATTTGAAATGAATGAAAACACAAAATATTAGTCAAAATAAAAAAAAAACAGAAATTTTAGGGAAGGAACTTACTTTTATATTGGAAACTTCTTCTTTTTCTGTCTCTTCGGGCAAAAGCACCTCTTCTGCTAAAAACAACACAGATATGGCATTATTCGGATGACTTTATGTGAATCCCTAATGAAATAAGCGAATATATCAATAATCCACAAACTAAAAAGATTCATGATGTGAAATGGTATACATCCAATCCAAGATATTACGGTTCAGAAAAAATATGAGAATTACGTTGTATCCGGGAATAGAAAAACATTTTTGAAAGATTGAATAAAATCTTCTGGTCCATACAAAAAAATTTAGTTGATAATGGATCGATAGATGTCATTGAATACAATCACGAAATTCTTTTGTGGAGAACGTGAAATGATATTTTTTAATCACATTCCCTCGTTAGTCTCAGCACTGGGACCAAACGCCTCATAAGTCGAAACTTGTGCGGTGTTAGAGAAGCATACAAACACAATCATCAATGTTGTCCATTTCCAGTAAGGATATGTTCAGTTAGCTTTAATTCATCGATATGTCTTACTGAAAATGGACAACATATGGCAGAGTGGAATAATATTAAAATCATAGGGAAGGAAGATAACAACCAAAAGAGAAAAATCAAGGAATCCGCTTGCATTCTTCTGAACGGAGACAATAGCATTACTTCCTGTCCAGTTGATATAGAAAGAACATGACATGTTGGGGCATATCATCCCTTACACATATATTGAAATAATACACGAGGAGAAAATCTCAAATAATCAAGTAAACTAAATGTGTACCACCTCCTCGATTAGCCTACAGACAGTATTTGAAGAAGAACATTTCCTGAAGTAGTTTCCAGATGGAATGAAAGAAGTAGTGAGCATTTCCGTACCAGTCTCGCGACCTGGTAGATGATTGAAAATGTTAGCGCTAATTAATAGTGAATAAGATTCAATCAACGTATCGCGATTTGAGGATATGTCTTTCGGTAACGACACTTAATGTTGAGGTTATAACGTTAGGAGATACTGAATGAGCCTGTAAATCAATGAAATACGCACCTCCGCCAGTTGGCAAAGATTTAACCAAAGTCGTTTTCAATGAATCGAAAGTAGTATTGATAACAGTTGCGAAATCAGCCTCCCTTTTTGATTCAGTTTCCATAAATGTACTGCTACTCTCATTACTTCCATACTCTTTCTTGTCCGGAATAACCAGTTTATTTTTATCGGGCTCTGTAACGACACTAACTTTGAAACGAGATACTCTGCGTTCCGTCAAAACAGCACTATCTGGAGCTGGCTCCTGGAAAATACACTATATTTAATGATGGTTGGCACAGATAAACAATAAATAATTTTAATTAGTACATCATTTTCACAGTTATCAACATTTGCATCGAAAAAGTCCTTATAATTGATTTATAAAAATATTAATTGAAATACGCGATATTTTCGAACATGCGGAAGATATGGGAAAATTGACCGTGACGACGTAGGTATTTGTGTTTTTTTTTCGTAGTTTTTCGGACATACTTTACTCTTCAATAAACAAAATAGTTTCGATGAAGAGTTATTCCACATATTTCGAGGTTGGCAACAAAAGGGTGCGTTGACTGGGCTTGTCTGACTGTTATAAGATGATCCACTTTACTGTCACAATAGAAACGATCTATTTTTTACTTTGAGCTCGTCTGCCTCCATGAAAGCGACCGTCTGCCGATGATTGGTTCATATATTTCAATCATGTATATAATATAGAATGCTTTTCTGCAAACAAATCAGGTTACAACTTATGAGGAACTGGACGACGTTTTGAACACCGTCTACTTTGAAAATGCGACTGCATCCACTGGCAGACGTATTGGTTCTTGATTCACATGATTCCAATCACATTGACGGTAATTGCATTCTGGTAATGGGGCGGTCTTAGCTAGATTTTTGCACTTTTTCCAAATCGATCACTCTAGACCAGCAGACCTGAATGTCAATTTTCTGGTAACTAAGGAGGCACAAATTTTTACACCTGGCTCTTGGTCTACTACCAGTATTAGTCCAAGAGCCCTTGAACGCCAGACCGTCGTTATTTTATAAAAGCTGAAAGTTTCTCAGCGCATACTCCCAACAAAGGTAAGAACGATTGGCAAATATGAAGTTCAGGTCATGGTACCTTTGGCAGGTTACAGGTAGCAAAAATGTGGAAAGTACCAACTAATTTTCGTCAAATTAGGAAGCGTATTTTTTCATATTTTCTTCAGAATAATATCAGAAACCACGTCATCCATTGCCCGACAGAATACGAAATTCAACTCACATTAATGTATGAAAGCTGAATTCGATATAGGTTACTTGGGTAACTATTAGATGTTTCTTCAGTAGCCAGAGAGATCTGATAGTGCTAAACCCTGGCCAACCATGAATTTATACAAACCTAGAGATTTATTAGATCTGACTTCACTATATAAACTTAAAATATGTTGTTTTATTCAATTTGTCCTATATAAATTGAAAATTTCGAATTTAAATTTCAATGAAATCAATTCATTACATAATCATGGAACAAGACAATCAAATTTACTAATAGCAAATACGTTCAAGTCAAATATCGGCAAACAATCCATTTTTCATACAGGAATCGTTCTATACAACTCATTACCAAGTCAATTGAGGAATATACAGGAAGCAACTAGATTCAAAATTAACTTGAAAAAATATCTGTTTCAGAAACTTTGATAATTCCATTTCTTATTTGAATACCTACTTATAAAAGACAAGGTTGATATTGCATGATTATTTGCATTTTTTTTATATGTATTTTACTTGTTATATCTTATTATAATTTCATAATTGTATGTATAACATTATGTATATTGTTTATGTATACCTATTATAAACTACTATGTGTATTGGGGTAATAAAGACAATCAATCAAGTAACCATACAGTGCTGTCGTAAAGAACTGAATTATAGTTATTTATTTTACTAGGCAGAACAGAAGTAGATTGACCGCCGCGATACATTTCCTGCCATGTGAAACATATTTTGTTTCTCCAAATGTTATAAAACCAATTTTGTGTAATTTTTCTATTGAAAACGCCATCATTTTGTGTTCACCCAATGTCAGTGTCAATTCTGAATACCAATTTCATTCAAATTTCTTGGAACGTTGCATAGCAAAAAACTTTTTCTGCTTAGGCAGAGGAAGTACAACTTTCCTGTCCGTTAGGTGTCTAAGGAAAGCCCATTTCCCTGCCACTTGGAAAAAAAATATTTTCAGTCAAACTATCCATTTCTGGATAATCTCCTGAAATAGGTCGACTTCTAATTTCAATTTTCAACAGAAGGGACAATATAAAGAATGAAATTTAGTTTTTATACTTTAACGTGAGTTAAGCTACAATGGGGAAGTTTCCTTCAGATGATTTTTGAGAAAACAAGTTTGGAATTCTCCAGTTTTATGTCCACGCTGTACAGAATAGCGACCAATAACGTCCAAGTCGTTTTCATTTTCAAAATAAAGCAATTTCTAACTTTCGGGGCGGCAAACTGTGACGTACATTCTGAATCTAGTCTGAAAATAGCTGATGGTGAAGACTATAGCTAGCGAAAAGCTATCGAATAGCTAACGAATGGAAAACGAATGGAAAAAATAGAAGAAGTAAAACTGGTAAACAAACACATATACATAACCACAAATGCTCGGAGCAGGAATGCATAAGTTAGTTGGCTTCATTCTGACAGGTTATGGTTTTGTTATTTATTCATCGAAATATCTAATAGAGCGCGTCCTTAACGAAAATATCATTGAATCAATGAATCACTATCGGCTAAATCCAATGATACTATCCTTCCTAACTTCCTGCCATCGCTCAGAACAGAATGAAGCCCACACCCATGGCTCCTTCCTCGGTGTGGACGGACTCGAAGTATTAGGCGCTGTCGCAAGATATAATCTGCAACTTTCTTGGAAATAGATCCGTTTTTTTAAGGAACGAATTCATGAGCAAAAAAATGACTGACAATTTATGAATAGGATATTGTATTATAACGATAGTGAAAAATTATAGCTACTATCGCAAAATACCATAATTTATCTTCATTAGTAATCAACTTCATTCAGCCAATGAGATATTTATGGGAATTATTCACAATACTTGACAAAGTTGGATTGGAGAACCTATTATATCCCATTGCTGTTATGATATAGTTATTATGCATTCAAAGAACAATCTCCGGAAATCTAGACATATCGATCATGTCGGCAACGTCGTACTGGCACAGGGAATCGTATTTTTACTCTGTGTGAATGTGGATTTACAGAAAGTACATCATAGGAAGCCATGTTCCTCTTTTATTTTTTTTTTCTGAAGAGAAATTTGATCTCACGAAAAAAAGAAGAAATACGTATATATTAATTTTTTACAGACTTCACAGTGAGATAAAAACCTCAATATAGAAAACTTCCCCATTCATCAAGGTATAAGGGGGCCTGGCAAGGGGTAGCCACCATGGCAAGTGTCTGGCAATAGATGACGTGTTTTCTAATATTATCACGAAGATAATAAAAAAAAAAACGTCTTATAATTTGGATCGTGGCGACGCAAAGTGATCTAAGTACCAACAATTTTTTTTTTCAGGAGAACCAAAGGAGTTTTTTCCCAAATTTTATTTTAGTTATTTTTTTTGATACCTATTAGCAAAACGTGAAAAAGAAAATAATATTTATTAAAAAAACAATACTGTTGTTATAGAAAAATGCAGAGATCTAAATCCACAAACACTAATGTGATATAAGCATTCGTTAAATTGTCTTACCGAATTACTACTCATCAAGCATTTTTTGCGTCGAAATGAACTTTACATTTATATTTCGAGTTTTGTTGCCTTTAGAAAATTCAACTCGAATTTCCAAGCAACAAAATTATCATTGAAATTTCAAGTTAACTTCGACAACAAAACGTTCTCGCCTATAAGTGACAAATGTTAAGGATTTTTTCAATGCATATCATTAGTAGATCCCTAACCTGGCTGCTCGCCCTAGCGTTAGATTCACCGACACCAGTCGCGTTATTTTCCCCCTGCTCCTCCTGCTTGTCAGCGTCACTCTTAGCGTTAATCTGCCTAAGCTTGTTATTCAGCTCCGAGAGGGCGCTGGCCGGCCCTGTCAGGTTGAAGGGCGATTGCCCTGAAGGGTGTGCGTCGATCGCCGGCGATAGAATGTCAGAGGTGACTGTTCCGCTGGTGCCGCCACTGGTGGAGTCTAGTTGCAGCTGAAATACGAAATAGTTAGAGATAGAGAGAATTATTCTTCATTGTTACACGAAATACATCATGGTTACAAAGCATGAAGGTCGACAGTACCTAAGGTCAATATAAAATAGTGAAATATTAAAATAATGTTACACTAATAATAATACAAACAATAGTAAAACTTGACAAACATTTTACAAAAATAAATTGAAATAAAATCATATAGGCTAATGTATAATAATCATATCACAGATCCATTGAATCTGTAAAATATCCATCTAAACAATAATAGGGTCTATCTGATAATAAATACTGCACAGCTTTCCTGATTGCATTGGTTGGTCTAATGTCCTTTATACAGGGTCGCTGATATGTATGGAAACAGGTGAATATCTCGGTAACCTGTTGTTGGATTTTTTCGAATTTATGTACTGTGTGATTTTAAAACGTGGCAGATTTGAAAATGTTATAGCCAATGTTGCCACTTTTTCAGTTATACCGGATTTTTCATTAACTTCCTTATTTTGAATAGAACACCCTGTAATTTATTGGATTCACAGATTCTCCTTGAAGAGCTAATTCCATCGATCTATCACACTTGGGGTCTAGCGGGAATGAATACATAGGTATGGGGTGTTTAAAATCTAGATTTTTCAACTTTAGGATTTTTTTTTGTCGAAACTATTCATTATTGGTCAAAACGGCTCACATGTCCCTATCCCAACTTTTGATCAACTATCTACTGACATTTAATTGAAAAAAATACAGGGTGGTTCAAGAATCAGAATTCTGATCACCCTCTGTATCTGTTCCAATTAAATAGTCAGTAGATAGTAAATCAAAAGTGGAGATAGAAACATTGGAGTGGTTTTGATCGATAATGGATAGTTTCTACACAAAAAAATCCTAAAGTTGAAAAACCTAGATTTTAAGCACCCTATACCTATGTAATCATTCTCGCTCGACCCCAAGTGTGGTAGATCGATGGAATCAGCTCTTCAAGGAGAATCTGGAAATCTAATAAAGTACAGGGTGTTTCATTCAAAATAAGGAAGTTACTAAAAATCCGGAATAACTGAGAAAGTGGCAACAGAGGCTATAACATTTTCAAATCCGCCACGTTTCGAAATCACACTGTAGATAAATTCAAAAAAATCCAACAACAGATTGCCGAGATATTCACCTGTTTCCATACATATCAGCGACCCTGTATAATTAGGAAGATGATTGTAAATTTTGCCATCATTATAAATGAAGGAATTTTTAATGAGAGTAGATGAGGGAGTATGAGTACGATCTATCTATTATGTCTTGTATTGTGATGTAATGAATGGAGACTGAATCTATCGATATGTTTTTTTATTAATGAGGTAGTTTCTAATATGAATAGGGATATAACTGTCAGTATTTTTCGTGATTTGAACAGGGGTTGGCAAGGGTCGCGATTTTTTGCACCACACATGTAACGTACAGCTCGTTTCTGTAGGACAAGTATAGTTTTCAATAAGTTATCATTACAACTTCCCCAGAATGCAATACCGTATCGTAGGTGTGACTCAATGAAAGAGTGGTACACCATCTTAGCAGCTGTGTAATCTAATTGTTGTGAGATTAGCTTCTCTGCGCAACATCCTGAAGTTTTTCTTCTCAATAAAATAACATGATCGTCGAATGTTAATTTACAATCGATATGGATTCCTGAGCATTTTATACAGTTCTTATTCTCAATGTTGTTAGAAGCGAGTGTCAAATCATCAAGAGCACATTTGAATGTTATAAGATTTGTTTTGTTAATATTGAACGAGAGTTTATAATGTTATTCAATTCAGTACTATTTTTGCTATGCCATATGATAGTCGTGTCGTCTGCAAATAATGTGATCTTACCAGAGATATTGATATAGGTCATATCATTCACGTATAGCAAAAAAAGTACTGGACCAAGGACCAAGCCTTGAGGAACCCCACAACATACTTTTCTTCTCTAGTTTTCACAATTTGTTCACGATTATATAAATATGACTGAATCCACTAATACGAGATTCCCCTGAAACCATAGTAATGCAGTTTCCGGAGTAATATTCCATGGTCGACACAGTCAAAAGGCCTTGACAGGTCGCAGAAGACCGCTGCAACAGCATCACCACCATTGATCTCAGTGTAGACCTCATACAATAAATTCAAAATAGCATCCGTTGTATTTATATTGTTTTAAAATCCAAATTGAATATCGCTTATAATATTATGTTTGGAGAGGAAACGCATTATTTCTATTTTTACCAACTTTTCGATTATTTTTGCAATAGTGAGGATAAGTGCAATTGGACGGTTATTTATGTACCAAGGACGAAACACTGTCTATTATAGTCGAGTATGCAAATTGACAGCCGAGGCTAGCAATCAGGCGAGACAATAGACAGTTTTTCGCCGAGGTGCATATTGAATTTTTTCGTCGACCTCAAACATGTTTGATAAGCTTAAATTCTATGGATTCTTGATTGACTCTTTGGAATTAATACAATCTTACTTTGCAAGAGAAAACAAAAAATAGTATCGAATGACAGTCACTCAAATTAGGTAAACATGACAGCAGGAGTGCCACAAGGCAGCATTTTGGGTCCCCTTTTTTTCATTATTTATATGGCAGACACACTGAAATCTATAGAACATTGTAAAATTCAGGCGTATGCCGATGACACCCACATCTTCATAAATTTTCCTAAAGATAATATTTTGGGGGCCCAAAATTGGTTGAATTATGACCTTAAAATAATATTTGAGAAAAGTCGGGCTCATAATCTGAAATTAAACTCTTCTAAATCAAAAGTTTTTTTTTTCAAAAAATTATTATGATATCTGCTCGGATTTAAACATAAGTATTGATAATAAGCCGTTAAGTATTGTCCACTCGTCAAAAAATTTAGGTTTGATATTCGATGATGACCTCAGATTTAAAAACCACGTTAAGCACATTCTGACTAAAACATTTATTTCCCTAAAAACTCTATACAGCAATAGGTACGTGTTGAATTTGGAACTGCGCAAAACTTCAGGTGACAGCTTGGTCCTGTCCCAATTCGCTTATTGTGATTTTTTGTATGGTCCATGCCTTGATGGAAGTTATTGGTATAAAATTCAAAAGGTACAGAATTATTGTGTGCGGTTCATATATGGGTTACGTAAATATTATCACATATCTCAAAAACTAAATGAACTTAACTGGCTCACTATGGAAAATCGTTGGAGACTTCACTTAGCTTTATTCATCTATAAACTTCTTAGGAATCAATCAGATGATAGTCGCTACCAGTTAATTCCGAGATCCAGCATACATTCAGTTAATATAAGACATCCCAATGCATTAACGATGCCTCATCATTCGACCGCCATGTATCAAAGAAGTTTCACATATAATGCAATTAAATTGTTCAATTCAATTCCAGACCGCATTAAAAGCCTTGGTTCATTCTCCTTCCGAAAGTTCATTAAACATGAGCTTCTTTCTTCACAATGAATATTGTTATGACCTTCAATATGAATATTATGTACACATCCACCTTTTTTTTCTCTCAGTAATGTAGACCCACCTTCCCATTTGGACGGTGAGAGGTTAGAGTAGCCTTAGGCTAAATCTCGCCTCCTGCTGGACAGTGAACAATGTTTTTCTTCTATGTACAAATCTTTGTACAAATCTTCATATATTTTTTTTGTATCATGGAATCACATAAATAAAGACGATTTATTATTATTATTAATATTATTGTTAAGTTCTTCCATAATCACGAGATTTTTGTAAAAAAAAAATTTTAGCCTATGTAAAATTCTTCGATATCGTCAGTGATTTTCGAAAAAAAAATAGCACCTGTATACAAAATATCTCCCCCCCCCCTCCCCGTTCAATTTTATTATTATCATTAGTCATAGATAAATCATTTTTTGTTCGGAAATTAATCGGTTATCAGCATGATTCAGCTTATTAGTCATTCATTCGGGACCAGGTGGTAAATCAAGACAGTCTTATATTAGATGTCATCACATACGGTCGAATTTTGTGATCGACATCGAAAAATACGCGAAAGGAATAATTTATCGTTCCAAACTGAGTGTTCCCTAAAAACTGAGTGATCGTATTGATTCGTATATAGTGTTTTTGAATTCTTCATTCGATTCAATAATAATAATATCGGGATCGTGTGTTGTTCTAGTGTTTCGTGTTGTTTCATCAAAGCCTCACCTTTTTCACGCTGGTGAATGCAGAGAAATTCTCTCAATTTTTCCTCATATTTCTCTGTATGCATTTAACTTCATTGTCCCATACAGGGAATGTCACGTCGAACTTACACTATCTTTAAATCGAGAATCAGTCGGGAGAAATCCATGAGAATGTCCATGCTTATACTTTGGTATACGCTCTTTTCATTTAAAATATGTTCGACAATGCAGTGTTGCCGCTTCTACTAGAAAGTAGTAGCAACATTGATATTTCGAACGGATCAGCCTGTATTTTATGGCATTTTAAGATTCTCCCTGAAGAGCTGATTTCATCGATGTATCATACTTGGGGTCTATCGAAAATGATTACAGAGATATAGGGTGTTCAAAATCGATATTTTTTAGGATTTTTTGTGTCGAAAATATTCATTATCGGTCAAAACGGCTCACATGTTCCTATCTCAACTTTTGTTTCACTATTTACTGATATTTAATCGGAACAGATACAGGGTGGTTCAAGATTCAGAATTCTGTTCACATGCATACTTTCATGGATTTCTCCCGACTGATTCTCGATATAGAGATAGTGTAAGCTCGTCGTGACATACCCTGTATGTTTCGTACCGTTTGTTGTATTTTCTCCGACCAAGGAATACTTTCTTCTGATTTGCGTGCTTCCTGTTCGAAACTGTATCTTTTAAGAATTTACCATCTTCGATAACTGTGATACAGAACGTAATCTTGATTTTTGCAAAATCTTCATCTATGGTCAGGTCATAACTTTTGAACCACTGTTTGTAATCGATTCA